GAATCTCCAATAATCAGAGTGGTCGGGGCGAAGAGTGGCCTCGGAGAAGGAGCTCGGTGGACGGAACCAGCGGGTTCACCCGAAGCAGGACCCGAGCCTGAGCGCCGCTGAACACATGGAGAGGAGGAGCGGGGGTGCTGACTCTCAGCTACAGGCGACCCACGCTGTGTGCTCGGGGACGCTGGAGCGGTGAGAGGGGCTGGCTCTGGGCGCTGCTGCTGACCCGGTGGAGGTGAGCGGTGGTGATGATGGCTCGCTACCCCAGTCTGAGGCTGCTGCACTGGGGTCAAAGAAGGGGAACAGGCCAACATGGCTGGTGGACCGCTCTTTCGCCTGAGGACTGCTTCCTTTAGGAGCGTTTTCCTCGCAGTGGACTTGGATCCTCGAGCAGTAGAGTACGCTGCAGTGTCCAGGGATTCTGCTGAGGGGGCCGGGATGTCGGTGGAGAGGGCTGCATAGCGGTTTGCCAGACTCAGGACATGGGCCACGGCGCAGGATGGCTCCTCGGAATCCGCGGGCTCGTTATTCGGAACCGGGCGCTTAGGTGTAGAACAGGAGGGTCCGGAGCTGACGGATCTCTCCCACACGACAGTGTCACAATATGCAGCGCTCAGTGACATCAGCCGTGAGTGCTGCCCACCAGCGACTTCAAAAAGTTTGGATACTAGAGATTGTTTCTCATTCAACTCTGCGGTGAGACGAAGGACTTCTTTTCGTAGATCTGCAATGGTGGCACGGTCGCTCTCACGGAGCTCCAAGGTGAGGCGACTAATATTGTGCATGTTTGAGCCAATTTCATTGTCACTTTCCATGTCCTCGTTAGCTTGTGTTAGCCTCTGTGCTACTAGTGGGTTTCAGTCGGGACTAAGTGCTATTTGCTGAAACCACTGAATTAAAAAGATAAAACACTCAGATATATTAAAAAACTGAACAGTAAAAACGCGCTAAAAAGTTGTTAAAAGTTTACTAAAAAGGTGCACAGAGCAGCCCTGCAGTACTGCTTACTTTGACCTGGCAGTACAGCGAGTTACAATAAACTAACCTAGATTAAATAAAAAGGTGGATAATTTGCTCAGTGGAGTAATTCATCCAGAGCCCGTGCACCAGTAAGTCACATGCTCTCTATCTCCTGAGTTGGCGGCAGTGACCTGAGCGTTTAACTAACTGCATTTAAAAAGACCATGGTGATATCTCTTTGAATATGCTCACTAACAAGTACACAAACTGTTAAATGCATTCATTCAAAGTGCATGCACATTGACCAAAAGTATAATGCACAAAAATAAGTGTCTCAACTAAAGTACAAAATCAAGAACCACACATTCGCAATGACTATATTTCAGTGTGAATAGTATCAATTGGTATGGCAACGAGATGCGCTGAAAGTGTTATTACTCAATTGCAAAACGTTAAATCAGCACGTCGCGCATTCCTGACGTTCCAGGTGCTTACTGCAGGGTGAACTACGGCAACATGCCTCGGATGCTGGCATTAATCCATGGAATAGGGCTTCAATGGCGAAAGGAAATATTGACCTCGCAGCGCTCAATAACAACGGTCTTCTTCCAAAAAGGATGTAATGAGGCATACACCTGTTTTGCCCCTGCTTTCCTCCTGGATCAAACCAACAATGGTGAAAACAACATTCTTATGGAGTGAGACTGTTGAACTGACGACATTAAACTGACAAGAATGTAAACCCCTGAAATAACAGAAATATCCCATGTGATCTTTGTTGTTTGTAAAACCAAATCCAACTGTTTCAAATTCACCTCTCTGTTTTCCTCAGGTGGGTATGTGGAGTCTTATCTCTACTCTTTGACTTCACATAAAACAACGACACATCTTAATGTGAAAAAACAATATATTGGAAGAGGATAGAAGTGACACTGTAGCTTTGACCTGTTCATTTAATTTCAATTGATTTTCTTGGACTTCACAGAATTGTCTATTTGCCATCAACAGATCAGAGAATCTGTGGTTGGTGGATCAGGTGAATGTGCGATTAGCTACAAGTGATCAGCTCTTCTGCTAACTGGAGGAAAAACTGGAGATGAAGCATTTCACATATTAGCTCGGAGATATAAATGATGTGTTATTCTGTATCCTACAGAGAGACTTGTGTCATAATAGTAGTATGGCAGGCACATCATACTGTACCAATCCATTGTATATGGGGATGGGGATGTATTATGCTCTTCTATACTATACTATATTATATCTACATCTACAGACCCATGACAGGAGGGATATGTCGCTCAGCTGGCCTGGGAAGGACTCAGGATTTCCCTGGATGAACTGGAGGAAGTGTGTGTGGAGAGGGAAATCTGGGCATCTCTGCTCTGACTGCTGCCCCCATGGATAAAGCGGTGACCAACTAACACAAGTGTAATTTTATATAACATAAATCTGGATTATAAATACTGGTAATAGCGCTCTAATGTTTATGTCACACATTCTACACACAGACACCCACATCAATAGCACTACATGTACGGGCCTGAGTATGAGTCACCTACTACACACACTTACTACACACACTTACATCCATATTACACATACAGCTCATATTTGCACAGTATGGGCCCAATCTATGCTCGACTAACCCTGGCCCCCACATTACAATAGATGCACTTCATTTCCTAGACAATAAAGTCAATAAGTACTTCTGAATCTTGATATATGTTACTGGCTGTCATGGCAGTATGTGTTGACTATTGTTATTAACTCCATGTATGTAAATTAATTGCTGCCCTTAACCTTGGACTGATAGTTGGGAAAAAGGGTGGGCCCTCACAAGCTACTTTTGCTTCTTCAATACTCCCTGTAAATATTGCCTATTTTCTTTGTTCTGTTTAAACCATAGACTGTTTAAACTTGTGATAAAATAAAAAGGAATTAAATGGAAGCATTTGTCGATTCCTGTAAGAACTTGCAGGACAAAAGTGATTGTGCGTCATCGGTCCAGGCTTTTTGTCTGCATTTATGAGAATGAAGGAAAAATGAAATAAGGTAGTCCCTTGATCGGCACAAAAGCACACCGAACATAACATGAACTAGTAACACATATGTCCCCGCCTGATTTGGGAAGTTACCCCTGTATACCCCTGTATACCCTACTATACCCTGTATTACGGGGTACAATAGTGGGACAAGCCAAGCTGTTGTCTCTATAATCAAGGCACTTTACAGTGTGTGAAGTTTGCGTTCAGTCCATCACAAGTCAGTTAGGAAAAAAGACATACAGGCCCTTGGGTCTTCTTCAGGCCCTTCTTATCGAGCCAATAACTAATTCACAAACATGAACATTCTCACAAGAAATTGCTGTATGAACCACAATTTCTCATATACTGTACCTCACACACACACAACTAAATTGCTAAATATTACACATTATATTGGCCATTAATAATGTGAAATACTATCTTCAGTAGAAAATATATGGAAAAACAAGTATGAAAAGTATTGGTAAGGAATGGAACCCTATGCTAGCACCAGAGGGACGTGTAGAAGTTGTTTTTTACCAATTCGCAAACACAGACCTGCGATTGTAAAGAATGTACTTCAACCTGATAAATGTTAGCGAGAAGGCGGAGTTTCATGGGTATGCCTGAAGTTCCTGGTATAAGCGTGGATGAATTTAGAAACAACTCCAGATCTGTTTTTGATGAGGAAGAATGTTGTAACATGGTTAAAAGCCCAAAAAAGTTGATTATTAGCTTCAGTGAAGCCTCACTGACTTAAAGAGTTTAATGAAACATAAACTATAGTCGCCTGCAGCAGCATGAGGCAATGTTTCATCGTCTTCTGTTCTCGCTCCAAGATTTAGCCTGACATTTCAAATGAGAACCACAAAAAACTAAAGCACAGGTATTTCATTACCAGTGGGAAAATGTGAAAATATCTTTTATGATTTTATGTTTACCACAATTTCTTACCACATACATTTTTTGTACATTGTTTACAATTACTCAGCTGACTCACAATAAACAACTGCTAGAACAGCAGATGATCAGTGTATTAACAAAACCCGTTTTAATTTGCTACTGAACCGTCTTATTCAAACTGTTATGCACCTAATACCTCAAATGCTTTTCCCAAAAACTCCTCACTAACTAACCATTTAGTGACCTCTTGTGGCGGTGTTTCTGTGGCCCAAACTGAAATATCAATTTTACAATTTTTCTACAAAAACGTTGCATTTATATTAAATATGTAACTTACATTTTGTAATAATATAATCATATTTGTGTAGTGCAGAGATATTGTCATATTGTGGAGGGCCGATTTTGGACATATTAGCTACATATTTTTTGTGGAAGCTAAAACATATATAACATAAATAAGCTATGAGGTGGAAGTTATAACATTATTTTTTTAATATAGAAAACTATTCAAAGGAGAGCAAAATATGAAGCCATATTATCTGGTGTTTTCATTGTGTTTGGGTTAAGTTTGTTCATAGCTCATCTTTAACATCTGCAGCCTTTTACATAATTTAATAATGAGGGTCGATATTCTTATAATGATGGGGTTGATATTATTAAGTTTTTCTTGAATTGAATCAAAACTGGACCAAAAATGAAGTATATTATAGAATGATTTACAGATTCATTCTTCACGTTCACGATTGTCATTTACATCCCACATCCTCATGAGATGCCACTTTTACCCTTTCATTGAACCACCACCACTGTTGTCGTTTGGTTCAATCTCTCTCTGAGACTCTTTCTGATATTTATTTTTAGCATTCAAACAACTGGTCTCCTAAAAATGGGCCTGTCCTACAAGAGGGTAGAGCTGGCTGCTATGTATGGTATCTGTCCCACAGTGCTGCACAAGGCCCACGGTGCTCAGTCTTCATTGTGTCTGCTGCATAGGGGCCAAGACTTGAGGATGCTTTCAGCTTGGAATATTCTGCTTGAATAACTTTAAAACACTTTCTTTTATTTACTTCTTACCAGAGACAATAATTATATTACAATATATTTTTGTGGACCATGGAGTCGCTAGTTTTTTGGTTGTTCTTGCTCCCATGCCTCAGCCTTGTGCCTATAACTACCTCTGAAAAGGGCTTGGAGCTGCCGCAGTACGACGGGGAAGACCGGGTCATTGATATTAATGACAAAAACTACAAAAAAGCCATAAAAAAGTACAGTATGCTTTGCCTGCTTTACCATAAGCCTATCCCGGACAACAAGGAGCAGCAGAAGCAACATCAGATGACCGAGTTGGTGCTGGAGGTAAGAACAGACTCTCGCCCTAATTTTGTGCTGTTATTTTGTGTTCCTTTAATGAATATATATTCTCAAAAATGTTCAAAACGGTGAAACAACAATGGAGCATTCACGTCATTGTGTTTGAATAGTACAGATCTCTCACACTGTGCATTCAAGGTGACCTGCGGCAGAAGTCTTAAATCACACTTTTCATCTCATAGTGTGAAAATGCATTGAGCTGGTCTCGAGTTACAACAGACCCCTGACCTCCCCAGAAACCAGACCCCAGCGTGACATGCAGCTTTACATATTTGCATGGCACAGGTGCGACTTCAGACAGGTACGAGCCCAATCTGTGACGAGCATCCCTGAGCAGACCGCCAGTCTGCTATGTCTGACTGATAAGTGACTTTTATTGTATAAATGATCCTGTACATATAATAAATCCAAATATTTGATGTCCCTGAACCTTCAAAATAAAAGTACAAAGGGATATAAAAGAGAAACTTGTACTACAGAGCGCTGTGGCTTTAGTTACATTTAGTGTTGTCTATAATAAGGGGTCATAAACTTTGAGCAGCTACTGGCTATTTCTACCATGATACGTCATAAACTTATGTTTACTTACTTATATTCAAACTCTGTCTTCATTTCTCTACACTCTCGGTACTTGGTGGTCTGGTTGACTTGAACTGGACTAAATTGGGTTCAAAAATGCTTCACAGATCTGTGATGTAAACTGACTTATGTGACCAGTAGAGACATGTTCACATGTTTAGTAGTTTTACATTCTCACAAATAAAGCATTGTGCCCCAAGTGAACCAAAAATGGTCCAATTAAAGTGAACCAAACCAACAACGGAACTTAAACTCAAGCTATATTTCTAGCACGATAACTTTCCCATTTTAAGTCTGCCCTTTAGGTCAGATTATTCAAAATGACACAGCCAGTCACCCTCTGTCAGTCAACTTCTATTGGAAATATATATTTAACATCACAACAATGTATGCATATCAGGGTCGGCGGGCGGCCACGGGCTAAGTATAACCATGCTATTCTGTAACAGTGCTGTCCATTAAATCCATATGAATTCTGTTGAATTGTGTGTGCAGCTTCTAGCGCAGGTGATGGAGGACAAAGGTATTGGATTCGGAATGGTCGACTCTCATAAAGACGCTAAAGTTGCAAAAAGGCTGGGTAAGCTATCTTTGTGTTGCTTAAAAATGACTTAAAAATATGTGAACAATTGTGTTCCTTAATTAGGCCTGGAGGAGGAAGGCAGCGTGTACGTTTTTAAAGAGGACCATGTGATTGAGTTTGACGGATTACTATCTGCTAATACTCTGGCAGAGTTTTTATTGGATGTGAGTGAGCAGTTCAAATCAGATCTCGGCGGTCGTACCTTCAGAAATATGTAACTGTGGTATGCTTCTCTGCAGCTGTTGGAGGATCCTGTAGAAGTGATAGACAATGCACTGGAGCTCCGGGCCTTCGACAGGATGGAGGAAGACATCCGTCTCATTGGTTACTTCAAAAATGAGGAATCAGAACGTAAGGATTACCAGCAGCATTCGACAGATGCATTTGTTTATGTGATCACTTTGTGCCATTCATTGATTTACAAAAAATACTTTTTCAGAAAGACCAAATTAGTGTTGACAGGATATTCAAATGACAAACTCTAATTCAATTAAGATTGTCAAAAGAATTGGAAACAAGATTGACAAAAAAAAAGAATAGATACAAAATAAAAAAGGTGAAAATTACATAAACAAGACAAAATGTGAAATTTGTTCATACATTTTAAACTATTGTTGAAAAAATTATGAAAGAGGCAGCTGCAATCACACTTGTGACCCGGTTTATTTTCGAGCTCTTCCAGATCGAACAAAAAAAAAACCAGACACGCCAGACCATCCTTGAGTAAGTTAATAATACAGAGTGCAGACAATCTAAATATAAGAAAGATCTGCATGGTCTTAAAATGGCCAAATACGTACATTTGAATCTTATTCCTAGATTCCACACTATTTGAGAAGAACGGGTATAAGACCTTGTGGTCCTATAAAAAGTCTTATTTTAACCAGAACCAGACGCAGGGAAATAATAATTGACCGGAGTTTGAGGATGGCAAGGCCAGGATGGTAATTACCAGCTAGAGAAAGACAAACTGCAAAAACATTTTTATTTAAACTAGTGGGGAAAATTGTTTCTCGTTCACTGCATTTTAGATTATGAAGCATTTAAAGAGGCGGCTGAGGAGTTCCAACCATACATCAAGTTCTTCGCCACGTTTGAGAAATCTGTAAGTAAAACACTGATTACAAATATTCTGAATTATCAATCTATTTCTATATGTCACACATGTGTTCCTGCAGGTGGCTAAAGAGCTGACACTGAGGCTGAACGAGGTGGACTTCTATGAGCCCTTCATGGAGGAGCCAGTGACCATCCCGGGGAAAGGCCACTCAGAGGAGGAGCTGGTGGACTACATCACAGAGCACAGGCGGTAAACTCCAAAACATACAACAAATTACTCTAATAAAGCTGGGGTATCTAACTTTCAATAATAATGTTATTTTTTTTTGTTTTACTATGTAAAAAAAATTGGGCTCTGTTGCATTTTTAGACAGGACCCCTCACTCTGAAGGTTCTTTCTGTCAAGTATGCACATTTTTTAGTTCAAAGTTATCTTTATTGTTTGAGATTTGTTTTCCAGCAAACAATCATCTAAAAACAGGCAGACACAGTAAAATCACACCATTGAAGATACCAAGAACAAGAGAGGCTAGTTTCAGTGCAAATGTGCCGTCTTAAAGTGCAATACTTTGTATAAAGTGCTATGTGCTCTTCACCTTTTGGCCCTATAGCGCCCTATAGCGTCGTCCTGGGGGTAACAGTTCAAACTGCTCCTTCAGGGGGTGGTCCAAAGAACCAATGATGGAATTGGCCTTTCTGATAACTTTTTAATAGATGATGCTGTGGTCTGATTTGTTCATAAAACTTAACTTTTACAAGACTCTTTCTGACGGGACGAACATGAGAAAAGAAGTTAGCTTTAAGTCATGTAATAAATTAATTCCTAAATCACGTTTGCAAACAGGCCGACACTGAGGAAGCTACGCGCAGAAGACATGTTTGAAACGTGGGTAAGTGTAAAAAAAAAAAGATAAACTACAGATTAAAAAGTGCATGTGAAGATGTCAGCAGAAACATTGAATGGTCAAATTTAATTACTCACTTACATAATGTTGTGTGAAGAGATAATACAGTGACTCTACGGTCAAGCCACGCTGTTGTGTCTCTTTCGCCATCTGCTGGTCAAGTGTATTAACTACACAGACACTTCAGTGTTCATTATGACCAGAAACTGAGTTGGTCTTCATTTTTTTTTTACATTATATCGACAAAAACTATTATGTAAATGGTATATTCAAGACAGTTAAAAATTCTCTTTTTAGGCAAAGAAAACACCTCTACAATAATGCATGAAAGGTGTGCATTTGGATCTAAAAATTGTCTGACACATCCAAAATTACACATTACAACATGAGCTAATTGAGTGAGATCTCAAAGTGCAGTTCATGCAAGGCAACCGGGAATATATCATAACAGGAGGGTTTTTGCAAAAACAAATGTGCAGCGTTAATCATCAGAGAGGATTAAGAACCTATTAAGAACCTGGGGTGTAAACTTCTAATCATGGTCCTTTGAGTAGTTTCTGTAGTCATTATAATTTTTAAATATCAAAAACATTCATTTGACAATAAAGGGCTTCCTGAGTTTTTGCGTTATCCTTAATAATCTCGCAAATATAGGAACAAACAAATCTCCCTGAGTGTGATAACTTTCAAGAACAGATGTATGTGACATTTATTGAAAATTAATCCCAAAAACAAGGACCACACATTCTCTTTGCAGGAGGATGACATCGAAGGCATCCACATTGTGGCCTTTGCAGAAGAGGAAGATCCAGGTAAACACACGACAGGTCTGTTTCAAAGCGGGGGATCGCTCACACATTTTGTTTCAGATGGTTTTGAGTTCCTGGAGATCCTGAAGGAAGTGGCTCGAGACAACACTCAGTTGCCTGACCTCAGCATTGTGTGGATTGATCCTGATGACTTCCCTCTGGTAAATTACAGTCTATAGTTGTTTTCTTTGTTAAACTTGAATGGTCTCACACTGACATATGTGTCTTTGTCAATGGCAGCTGATCCCCTACTGGGAGAAGACGTTCAAAGTGGACCTCTTCAGACCTCAGATTGGAGTTGTCAATGTGACCGATGTAAGTGTGGTGTCTTACTCTGCTTTTATCACAGACCTCTGCATTTGTAAGTGCTGAGTGTCGTGTGTTCAGGCCGACAGTGTTTGGATGAACATCGACAGCGACGAGAACCTGCCCACCGCTCAGGAGCTGGAGGACTGGATAGAGGATGTGCTGTCGGGGAAAGTCAACACAGAGGATGACGACGACAATGATGATGAAGATGAGGATGATGACGACGACGATGAGGATGATGAAGACGACGAGGATGAGGATGACGAGGAAGAAGAGGAAGAGGATGAGGATGAAGATGATGATTAGGCTCATACCTGCAAACTGAAATTTGAAGTTTAATCATGGTAATAAAAAACAATCGAATCTGACTTACTTTTTATTCATTTCAAGGCAGCACCGTTGAGATGTAGAGGATGTGGTGGAATAAAGTTTTCCGGTCAATGAGGATTCCAATTCACTCTGCCGGACTGGTCACCATAGCAACACACAGCATTGAGCACAAATACAGTAGTTAACTTACAGTTTGCTTCATGAAGCTACTTTGAAAGGTCTATTATATCAGCATGCTGAATTAATATGTTGAATAATTGTCAGCATTCCTACATAAACGGAGGAGTTTTCATGTTTAATGTAGGAAAACTGCTGTGTGTGTCTTCATTTTGGTCATGGCAACAGTTGCTGGCTCTTGGCTCATTTTGTAGTCCCTTTCCTTGAGCATATTTTTAGGAGCGTAAAGGACTAAATAACGGACTTAAATCAGTTTTCCCCAACCGTTTCAAGCCGTGGCAAACCTATTTCTTGAAAACAATCACATGACACACCATGAGCTGAATCTGATACAACAATGAAACTCTGCAGTTTCAGAGTTTCAGAGTTAAAATACACTTAGTTGAGAATGACAATGCAAAGTCATTCTCAACTAACTGTATTACAGAAAATCAAACAAGCGGCAAAAGGTCTTCTTAATCTAATCATATTATTTTGACCAATGAGGTGATATTGGATCATTTTCAAAGTCAGACCAAACAACATCTTAAGGAATGCCATGGTTTTTTAAAACTTTTCACAGCTTGTTTTGGAGTGTGATGAATCCTCAGTGCTTCAAGATGAAGCTGATCGTCTTAATATATCTTTTCATTTTGCCGCGATGCCTCAAACCCCGTCTGAATCAATGCTGTGCTGCTGTTTCCTGTTTCCAGTGGTGTCTGCTGGGCTAATGCCAGCGTCTCCCAATATGGATAATACATCAGAATCAGAATCAGAATTATTGCCACGTAAGTAACAGGAGGTCACAGACTAGGAAATTGCTTTGGCTCAGTGCAACAGTCAGAAACCCCAGTTACCTAATATAACTAAGGTTCTATGAATATGTTGCGAAGCCCTTTAGGCTTCGCTAATGCATATCTCTCGGAAGCATCGCTTCCCGCCCTGAGAAGATCAAACGATCCACCCTCCAATCACCTTCACGTCCTGGCGTAGGTCTGTCCCCTATAAAAAGGGTCATGCACCACAGCTCTTCTCCTTTCGAACTCAGCCGAATAAGAGAGGGCAGGCCTGCTGGGCTCGAAGCTAAAGGGCTTCGCAACATATTCATAGAACCTTAGTTACATTAGGTAACTGGGGTTTCTATTTCATATGTTGCTTCGCCCTTTAGGCTTCGCTATTGCATAACATAGCGAAGCCCAGACCAATGTACTCCCAGCAGGCATGAACTCTGGTGATTGGAGCAAACTCGTGACCCTCCTGCTCATACCGCAACCAAGCGGTAGAAACGGAGGTCCTACGAGCCATAGAGAAAGGGATGCAGGGCTACCTCTCCCAAGAGTGCCCACGCATTCCCCAACCTGCAAAGCAGGAAAGAATTCAGAACAAACCTGGGCAGGCAGCCTCTCCCAAGAGCACCTGAACCCCAGGAATGTAGAGCAGACTGCAGAAGGGTCTAGGCCGCCTCTCCCAAGAGCGCCTACCCCTACTGCAGAGGTGTCCAGGCCGCCTCTCCCAAGAGCGCCAACACCTCTCCACATAACCCTAGACGAAGGAGGAACTAGGGCCGCCTGCACTCAAAACCGAATGAGCCACAGAGTCAGAGGCCACATCTAGTAGGTAAAACTGCACAAAGGTCGAGGGGGAGGACCAAGACGCCGCTCTGCAGATCTCCTCCACCGAAGTGCCACGGAACAAAGCCACCGAAGCGGCAACCCCGCGAGTGGAGTGAGCCCTCAACTGGGCCGGAGGCGGCAAGCCCTGAGCTTCATACGCCAAACGAATAGCAAGGCAAAGCCAGTGGGCCAAGCGCTGTGGAGACAAAGCAGCACCCTGACTCCTGGTGCCAAACCCGACAAACAACTGATTCGACCGTCTGAGGTCAGACGTGCGGTCCAAATAGCATCTCACAGCCCTGATCGGGCAGAGACTATGACGCCGCTCTTCCTCCTCCGAAGCATGCGGAGGAGGGAAAAACGGTCTCACCCTGATCACCCTAGATCTGAAAGATGACGTGACGACCTTGGGCTGGAATGCCGGGTTAGGCCACAACTCCATCATGCCCTCCCGATCGGGGAGGGACAAACAAGACGGCTGCATGGAAAGGGCGCACAGATCCCCAGACCTCTTGGCCGAAGCCAACGCCAACAACAATGCCGTTTTGTAGGACAAACAGGCAATGGTCGCATTGTCCAGGGGTTCAAATGGAGGCCCCGACAGACCAGCTAAGACCACCTGAAGGTCCCAAGACGGAGCCGACCGCCGGAGGGGAGGTCTGATCCTGCGGGCCCCTCGGAGAAAGCGCTTCACCAAGGGGTGGCTACGCGCAGAGTGGCTACCAAACCCCACGTGCCCTGTGGTAATGGCCGCCGCGAACACACCCAGAGTCGCGGCCGCCCTTCCCTTCTCCAGCAAAAACTGGAGAAAAGCCAAGACCTCCTGGATGGAACACGAGGTGGGGTCCAGGCCTCTGTCCACGCACCAAGAGGCGAAGAGTTTCCAGTGAACCTCATACGCTTTGGTGGTGGATGTAGCCCTCCCACCCTGAATAGTAGCGACCACTGAGGGAGGGAGACCAAGGCTCAACAGTTTCCCCCTTTCAGCCTCCAGACCATGAGCCTGTGTCCCAGGACAGGGCGTGAGTAAAGGGCTCCCCCTGCCTGTCTCAGAGCATCGGGACGGTCCGGAATGGGCCAAGGCGGACCGAGCGCCATGCTCACCAGGTCCGGATACCACCTGGCTCCCGGGCTGTCCGGCGCCACCACCAGGATGGAGACCCCCTCCCTCCTTACCCTGTAAAGCAGGGCTGCCAAGAGCCGGAGAGGCGGGAAGGCGTAGAGGAGACCGTTGGGCCACGACCTGTGCGCCATGGCGTCCACCCCGAGAGGGGGCTCGTCGCTGGACCTGAGCGAGAACCAGAGTGGGCACTGTGCGTTCTCTGCATTTGCGAAAAGGTCGGCCACCGGTGTTCCGAACCGGAGCCAGACCTCCGCCACGACCGCTGGGGCAAGACCCCACTCGTCCCGCAAGGCCCCGCCCCTGGACATCCTGTCGGCGGCCACGTTGCGCTCGCCTGGGATGTGACGGGCCCTCAGAGAGGCTAGGTGAACGTCCGCCCACAGAAGAACCTCCACTGCCAGCCTGTGAAGGGCGGGGGACCTGGTCCCCCCCTGCCTGTTCAGGTAAGCTGCCACAGTGGTGTTGTCCGTCCGAACAATCACATGTTGGCCCTCCAGTCTGGTCACAAAATGGGCCAGCACTAACCGCACCGCCTCCAACTCCAGGAGGTTGATGTGCCCCAAGGGGGAGGACCAAACGCCTCCTGCCGAGTGGTGGCCGAGCACGCCTCCCCAACCGCTCAGTGAGGCGTCCGTGAAGACCTCGATGTGGTGGTCCACCAGACCCATTCGAACTCCCTCCTGGAGTCGACCTGGGGACAGCCAGAAGGCGACGTCGTTCCGAGCCCTCTCCGACAGTCGCTCCCTCCGTGATAAACCCCTGAGGTGTGAGAACCACCTCTGGAGATATCGCATGTGCAGCAACCCCAGTCTCACCACTGGATGGGCTGCTGCCATCATGCCCAAGAGTGACCGGATCTGCCGCGGTTGGACCCGAGGTTCGCCCAGAACGACCCGGCCCAGGTTTTGAACCGCCGCTTGTCTCTCCGGCGAGAGTGAAGCCGTCATGCTCCTGGAATTCAAGACCAGCCCCAGATACGAAATCTCCTGGGCCGGGCACAGGGAGCTTTTGTCCATATTGATCACAAACCCTAGCCGGGCAACGTGGTTCATCACTCTGGACGTGTGATCCTGCGCCTCCTCCCGAGAGGAGGCCAGGATCAGCCAGTCGTCGATATACGTCAGTATCTTGAGGCCCTGACGCCGAAGGGGTTCTAGCGCCGCCTCCACACACTTGGAGAAGGTGCGGGGGGCTAGGGAGTAGCCGAACGGGAGTCGGCAATACTCGAAGCACCCCCCCCCCCCCCCCCCCACAGAAAAACCGGAGGAACTTCCTGTGCCCCAGAGCAATGGGTATGTGGAAATACGCGTCTCTGAGGTCCACGGAGGACATCCAGTCCCCGGGCCTGATGCTCAGCAGCAGCTGTTTGACTGTGAGCATGCGAAACGGTCGCTTGGCTATGCAGCCGTTGAGGACGCGCAGGTCCAGAATGGCCCGCACCCCCCCGCTCTTTTTTTGGGAACAATGAAGTATGGAGAGTAAAACCCTGTCCCTGCCTTGAGCGGGTCTACCTCCGCTACCGCGCCGCGCTGCAGAAGCGCGTCGACCTCCCTGTGAAGCGCCACGGCGTCCTCCGGGCTGCATAGCCTTGTCTGGAGAATGCCGCAGAAAGGAGGGGGCCGCCGGGAGAACTGGAGAGCATAGCCCCGATGCAGCACTCTGCGTATCCACGGTGTTCCCAGGAGCCCTGCCTGTTCCCATACGGTGACAAAATGAGTCAAGGGAAGCACGGCGGGATGGGAGGAGGGAGTAAGGCCCGGCCCGCCCACAGACGTCCCTCCTGGGGAGGCATCGGATAGTGGGGGGCCCCTGGGAAAAGGGCTGAGCCCTAGCTGCGGCCCTGGGCCTTTTCCCGGGCGGCAGAGTGAGGGCAGACGCGCTGCGCTTTCGTGGAGCAGAGCCCCCGCACCCCAACACTGCGGACTGAGGGGGGGCCGGGCAGGCCCACTTATCGCTCTGGACCGTGGGGGGCCCCTGAGAAGAGGGCCGAGCCCTGGCTGCGGCCCTGGGTCCTTTACCGGGTGGCAGCGTAAGGGCAAGCGAGCTGCGCTTACGTGGAGCCGAGCCCCCTTTCCCCAGCACTG